CACCCCCCTCCATTTTCTCCGTCCCACACCCTCTGTGCAACGCCAAGGGCATGTCACTCTTCCGCTTCTCATAGCGAAAAAAACGAATCAGAAACTAGCTACCTTGTTTAGAAACAGGTACCTAGTTTTGGGAAAAATGAACCAGAGACCTAGTATTGGGCTCGTATTCCGTTATTCGAATAATTTATTCGGTTTCTGCCCAGGCCTAGTCTATGCCTTTCATAGCTGTGCGCTTCACAATCGAAGTAGGTCATCCCTGCCCTATATATAGGGCTTGCGCACTTCTCGGGTAGCCCGGCTCAAGCCCTTTATTAAGGCAAGCGCTATTTGCAACGCCGCGTTCTGAATAGCTCCCGTGCTATTTGAAACGCTAGTACTAGATCTAGATCTAGTAGCCATCGTTTCTACATGATAATATTGTAGTTCTGCCTGAATTGTGGAAGCTTTCTCAGTTTTTTTATAAACCTCCTAGGATTTCCTTTTTTTATGACTTTGTCTTATTCCGATCAATATTGGGTAGATCTAGATCTAGAAAAATCTAGATCTAGATTAGATCGAACAATTGTTTCTGACATTGTTTGCACAAAAGTAGACGTTTTGTTCATCTCTCTCATAATCATAATCATCTGAGTTAGAGTTTGAGCAAGCTTAAGTCGAAAGACGCTTGGATAACAATAACAAGATGGTGCAACTTGAACTTTAAGTTAGGCCTAGAGAACGTATTCAAGCTGTCTGCTGTCTACGTTCTGTAAGTCTAAAGTTTAGTGCTTCCAAGCGTGGCATCGAATCCCGGTCACGAAAGGGTTTTTTTTCCCCTTCTCCTGAGCCTAAAATTTTATTTTAAAAAATAGACTCACAGACCAAGGAAAGCCACTACTGAACTTTAACCAGGCCTAAATTGGTAAAAGGAAAAGTAAAGAGGCTATACTAAGGCCTACTTTGTATAGAGCTCCTCTTGGGGACAAAACCAAAATGTGCATGCTTCATCACTACATAAAAAAAACTACAAAGCAACAAGATATAATTATGGGAACAATTTGTAGGTCAGTCGAGAAGAGAACAACAACAACAAAAAACCGTCCAGGACCGGGATCGAACCCACGCTAAAAAAATAATGGTTTGACTTCAAGCGCAGATATGCTGTCACTTCGGCCATCAGAACTTCCGATAACGATGTGCAGATTAAGCTTGATATTTTACACACGGCGACACAGCGTTTTATTTAGCACTGGCGCTAATCCCAACACAGCGTTTTATTTAACTTAGCACTTAGCACTGGCACTAATCGCAACGCCGCGTTGCAAATAGGCACTTTCCTTTATTAAAGGCCTGCGCGCTTCTAGGGTTTAAGTTTGTCCACTTTACATAGTGTCCAGTTTGATAGTTTATTACTATTAGTTTATTTATGTGCCACCTACAAAGCCTAGCTTACTAGATCTATGTGAGGAAGGACTTCCATAACGAGCGACCCCCCCCATCAAACACAATAAGAAGAGGCCTAGACCTAACCCTACCCCAAGCCCTCAATTCTGCTCTGTCTCATAGTGGTCGCTTGTTACGGAAGTCCTCCCCTATGTGAAGTGGAGGGCTGTACACATGCCTCGATGCTACCGTATGAATAGCCACTTCGCTTTTTTTTATATTTTAGAAGAGGAAGTGGCTATTCTCACCCGCCCGGAAGTTCTTGCAAGATCTACTCCTCCCCTCTTCTCTCTCTCTCTGTCTCTTTCTGAATACTGTCTATCGGTGTGGACGATCAAATTGACCAAAACAAAGTTAAAAAATGATGTTAAAACACAAAAGTAAATTAATTTGGTTGTCTACAAAGATGCTACGGCTATTTAACTTTTCGAATCGAGCCGAACTACGCGGGTCGCCATTTTGTTTTGCCCGGAAGTTCTCGCGCTACTCCTCTCTCTCTCTCTCTCTCTACTGCCCACAGACAAAATTGGGTGCTTTTTCGGTAGTTCCCACCCCCCTTATTTGAGCCTGACCTACATCTAGATTTTAGATCTATACGTTTGATTCGCGGTGAACTAAGATATCAAACCTAACAACAGCAAAACATTAATAAATTGTAGTAAAATTCAGGGGGGCATGCCCCCCTGAAACCCCCCTTCCTATTTTTGTTAGGTCAGGGGGGCAAGCCCCCCTGAAACCCCCCTACTCTTGGGGCCAAAACCCGTGAATAACAATTGCGGGGTGGGATCTAGAAATCTACCAAAAAAGCGCCCAATATTGTACGCTTTTTTTAGTAGGCTACAGTACAGTTACAGTAGTTGTAATGGAACGTTTGTTCACGGCACAGAATTCTACAATTTTTCTGTTATCACAGTGTAGAATTCTGTGGTTTAGGGTGAACGCAAAATTTGTTGGCCTAGATCTAGGCTATAACGGTGAACGCGCACCGGGTGAGAATAATAGCCAAAAGTCGGCAAAAGACTCGCCTGTTAGTCTTAATTTAAGAGTTAGAAGAACAAGAAAATCACTTTCAAAGTTAGATTTCTAGATTCTAGATCTCTAGATCTAGATCTAGATCTCTAGATCTACATCCAGACAATCAGAGTTAAATATTTTGTTGCATAAGAAAATAACCCTGCTGATGGATTACCAACCTGTTTCAGTGTGTAGATCAATCCATCTCTGGACAACAAATCGGGATATAACCAATCTATATCTGGCGGTTGTGTGGACATGGAAGCTGCCATTTTGACGACAAAGTGTTCAGCAGATAATTCAATGCTGATCCTACCTCGAAAAACAGGAGAACAATATAAATATTTATCTATAATGCTTAAGAAATCTATATTAAAAGTTATTTTTTGTTTCAGTTTTGCTAATTGAAAACAAATATTCCCTCAGTCATTTTTGTAACTTTGATATCTTTTTATCATATCAAAATAAGACATACTAGTAGCGCAGTAAAAGTAGCAGACTACAAAATTTCAAGTTGGATGGGAACCATGAAAAGCCTTGATAAGTGATCACAAGATCTTTCCCGTTTTCGCTGAGGTTAGCCAAGGCCTTCTTTGCTTTAAATTTAAATCAGGGACAGAAGCTTCTATTGTGACAAGACTTTATCTCTGTGTTTGAAGATTTACGAATAGGCACACGAAACAACGTAGATCTCTAGATTTCTAGAGTCTAGATCAACTCGCCATATCAGACAGAGTCCTGCTCTCACTTTCGGTCAAGACTTTTAAGCCCCACTGGAAGTGTTCGTCAAAATAATAAAATGACAAAATTACTGTTATTGAAAGGGACATAACAAAGCTAAGAACTATGAAAATTACTACATAGGCCTATTTATGACTAGATTCTATAAATAAATCTAAAGTTTGTATGTTGTTGTTTTGTTTTTTTATGGCAATTTATCATTTTTGGGAACAAATTTGTTAGGCATTCCTTTCACTTTCATTTTGATTTATTTGTTTACCAGGGCTTCCCAAATTCTCCGTTTAGGCTACTACTAGATCTAGATCTAGATACCTTCCTTTGAATTTTCTTGAGCCACTCTCTCTCTCTCTCTCTCTCTCTCTCTCTCTCTCTCTCTCTCTCTCTCTCACACACACACACACACACACACACACAAACACACACACATTTTATTACTACATCTATACGTTATTATTCCTATGTGTTTGAAAACATTTCGAAATTGACTACAGGTTTTCTTCTGCTAGCAGAATCATGCAGGAGGAAGATTTTTCGGACTTTCATCATTCAGCTGAAAACCGTCATTAGACAAAGAATAACACAATTAAATAGGTGCATGCAGGGGCGGACTGGGTCTTAAAACCGGCCCGGGCATTTGTCATCCATACCGGCCCACTAAGGCCTAGTAAAACACGCAAAGCCAGCAAGTTTCTAAGCCTCCTTGCTATTATTATATGTTACTAGTTAGAGCACAGAAACTGACGAAAACACCCATGTTGTATTATTGTGTGTTTGTATGTGTGCGCGCATATTTGTGTGTGTATGTGTGTATGTGTGTGTGTGTGTGTGTGTGTGTGTGTGTGTGTGTGTGTGTGTGTGTGTATGTGTGTGATAAGCAGCTTTTTAATATATTATATCATACATGTCGTACAACCAAATCAAAACAACATTAGCACAAGAACTCAGCCCAGAGCATACCTAAGAGAGTTGATGTCTGCGAAGTTATTTGCTTTTGACGGCCACAACAACAATTATATGTCTTTTTTGTTCTGTTTGGTCAAGATCTCCTTTTCCACTGACATCAGCATAAATGCCTCAAGATGTTCAGGTGTCATCGTGTTTCGGAGACGGATTTTGATTTTGTTCAGGGCAGAAAACGACCGTACGCATGCAACCTGCGACATAGGCAGGATTAGTAGTGGCTTGTAAGCAACCCCAATGTCTTTGTAAGCAGCGGTGAAGAGGTCCAACTTGAGTAGCACCTTGTAATAGCAGGGAGGGCAAGCTTTGCATGAGATACATGTAACAGTGGAACTTGAAACATTTTGTCTGCTCAGTTCTGATTCACAGTCAATCAATATCGCTGTTTCACCTCATAGTGGTCTTCAACTGACTGCTTCAGGTATTTCCATCGTTCTCCAAGGCTTTGCAATTCTGTTTGCAATCCTTCTGTGGTGACGCTAATGTCAAATCTCAGTAAATACTTTTGCAGCTCTTCCATAGCCTCTGATAGGACTTCACCAAAGTTTCTTGGATGAAGAAGGGACAGGTCAGCAAACAATCTAGGCGCTGCAGATCCTTTAAATCTTTGTTCAGTGCTGTTAACAAGGGTGTCTACAATTCGATTGTACACTTCAATACGATATTTCTTAATGGGGTCAGCTGTTGATGTAGCTTCGTCTGTACACAATTCACCATCCATTCGTCTGCGTTGTCTTTGCCGTTTCAAGGGAAGCGACTCTTCCGCGAACGAATCTGACCCGCTCTCCTCCTGTGCATCATTCAGCCACTGAACAAACTTTGCAGCTGCATTTTTAAAAGCTTCGAAGTCCGCCCTGAGGGCCGGCATGTTTGACAGCAACTCCGCCACCATCTTGTATTCCGTCAAAAGGTCCAATTGCACGGTTTGTAGATACTTAAAAAGGGCTGAAGTGCGTGAAAATATTTGCAGATACACTTGCGCTGTGAGAATTGTTTCAAGCTTGAGTAGAGCATCAATGTATCCTCTTACTTTAGCTTTTACGACTGCTTGGGTGTTGTCAGCAACACTTATAACGTTGAGGCTGGTGATCACTTCAACAAACAGAGCTTCGGATGGATTGTTGAAAGAACCAAACACCTTCCTTAAGGCAGCATCTTTTGACCAGCATCTGGTCTCACCAATGATTCACAAACGCTTCATAGTTGTCGAGTGCCTGCTCCAGATGTACATCCACTGACAAGACTCCCGAAAGAACACCGCAGTGTCGTCCATCAATGTAAATAGCCATGCACTGTTCACTACAGCACTTGTGACCTCCGAAACAACAAGATTCAATACATGAGCGTGGCACCAAACATGGATCTGCATTGGAGCTTTGTTTTAAAGCAGAGTACTGAAACCTCTATAGTGTCCCTGAATGTTTGCTGCACAGTCATTTGCGTTCCCAACTCATTGTTTGAGGTCAAGATTCAACCTTTGCATAACTTCTGAAACAATCTGCACAAAAGGTTCGCCGGCAGTTTCTTCACACTTCACAATGCTCACCAGTCTTTATTGGATGTTGCCAGTTTTATTCACATACCGAACGACAATACAGCACTGACCCTGAGTTGTTATGTCCTGCGTTGTGTCAATTTCCACAGCAAACATGTCTGCTATTTCTTCCAAAATGAAGTAACGGATCTTATCCCGAATAACAGTGATGATAGAATTCACAGTAGTTTTGGACAAAAAGTAACAAATGAGCCTCTGCCTTTGGAACTGTTTGCCTTCTCATTTTTTGTCTTGCTGCTATGGACTACGCGAGAGAGGTGATCACCTGTGCATGAATCATATTTGCGTAGCAACTCAACAATTTCCAGGAAAATACCATGGTCAATTTCTGCGTTGTCCAAAGTGTAGGCTGCCTCTTCCGTACTTCCTCTGTAGCTTAGTCCCCTCTTGCCTATGAGTTTAACTACATCCACAACTCGGTTCATCACTTGCCGTTTCTTTCTGACTTCATCACTGTAGTCCTTCGCCAACGCCTGAGAAATGCTTGATTGTCTTTTATCAACCAGATATGCTGTTGAGCAGTGCAGATGCAAAGACGAACGTTCATGCTGTTCCATTCGAGAATATACGCGCCGCCAGTCTTTTATCCCCTCAAAAAATACGGGTGTGTCTGAAGTGGCAGAAAACACCAAGCAGACAGAACAGTGAAGTGCATGGGAGTGTTTGTTGTAAGACTGCCACCATCTGTCTTCATGAATAAAACATCCTTGCACCACTCAATTATATGTTTTCTGACATGGATGATGATTCCAAAACAACAACCTTTCTTCTTCTGTGCATGGTTTCTTAAAGTAGTCAGTCCTGAAATCTTCAAGTTGAGTATGTGCAGTCTGTTCTGTTCTAGCCAGGGATAAAGCTTCCCTTTCACTTGTTGGTTTAATTTCTCTCATTTCACCCGATGATGGTCCAGCAACTAATTAATTCACCGCTTTTGTCCACCTCGTCAAGTTCAGTTGCTTCACCTGCTGATAGATCAGCAGCAGCTGCCAATCCATTACCTTCATCCACTTGGTCAAAATCCGTTGTTTCAACTGCTGAAGGTCCAGCTGCCAGTGCCAGTATACTGCCTTCGGCCACATTTTCACAGATTTCAGGTCCCTTTGCATCAGCGCTTTTGAACAGATGCAAAATATTTCGGCATTTTGATGCACTTTCAGACAGTTTGTTTTTCTTTCGATCACGTTCCTTCTCCGCACCCCCTTTTCTTCTTTTGTGGTTTGACGTATCCATTACCACTTATCCATTAGGGCCTACAAAGGAAGAAAAAGGAGTAGATCCACTGGTCTTATAAACACAGCAATCTGAAGACAATTTTTTTTAACCAAGCGGCCCACTTTGTCCTTTTAGAACCGGCCAACTTTTTCCCTTCGGCACCGGCCCACTTTGTCCTTTCGGCACCGGCCCAGGGGGCATTGCCTAAATGCCCATAGGCCAGTCCGCCCCTGGCTGCATGTATAGAATAGTACTTGTACAACTGCAACCTTTTGTACAGACATTGAAGAATTATGGTGCTGATAATGAGTAAAATTGCAAATTAAGAAAATGAAGTGAACGGTAATGAATGACATGTATTTGTTTTGAGATTATAAGGATATCTTTGGTGCATGAGCTTTATTCACAGTGGTGTAGTTGAGCAATATTCTAACATTACATCATGAGTTAATGAGGATATTTTTTATACTCCACAGATTTAAAAAATGGCTTCCCAGCATACCTTGCGCTTTCAGTCTAATTCGAAAGTATTTCATCAAGAGGTAAACATATACTATATTAACTTAGGCTGAGACCTCTGTATTTACATCATCTATTTTATGGTGTGCATAAGAGAGGAGGTATTAACACCTTTTTATCTAATGCAAGCTCACTTTCTTCTGGCCATCAATTCCCTATTCTCAAAACAATACAGTGAAACCTATTTAATTAATGCAGAATAGAATAGCAAGGGAAAAATAAAAATAAGATTTTGCCTTACACAGTTTTCCTTTGGACAGCTTCCATTGCTTCCATTTTGTGTTTAAAGGGTAAGGATGGGAACATAATATGGATAGGACTAAAGTTAAAGGGATCGCTTTTCTGTGCCAGCCTGTGCTTTTGTCCTATTTTCTTGGTCGATAGTAAGATCTCACATTTTCATTTGTGATGCAAGGGCTGACCTTCTTTAGTCATTTATTAATCTGGAATGAGAAGTCTGCTCCCTCGATCAATGTGGAATTTCCGCCCAGTGCATTTAAAAGAGAGGCGAGAGGCGCCTACTTTGACCGCATTTAAATCTGTTCACATTTATTTACTTCTCATTTTACTAACTAAATTTATTTGCTCTTCCAACAGCAAGTGTGATCAATAGCCACAGTGATTATATTTTTGTGAATGTGCTGTGCATCAGATTGTGTGTGCATATTATTATTATTATTATGTATTTGAAAGAATTGTATGTTGAAGTAAGCCTGAAATGTTGATTTAAATCTTATTTTAAAGTGAAGCTCCCACAGCCACCAGGGAGTATGGGCGCTATAGAAGTGATCTTTATTGTTATTACATGATGTATTCGTTTCAGGGAGCCTCATAATACACATTTCTTTAAAAGAAGGGTTGGATTTTTTAAAGAGAACAAGGGTTTAATTCCACTTACACACTGGATGGGTCCCCACTTTGTTTGGGTTTAATATTATTTATAATTTATAGTTATTTATCAAGAGGGGTTACAGATAGATTCTGCTCAGACAGTTTTTTAAATTATAGTCTTTGCATTCCACAGCACCATTATCACATGTATAATTAAAATTATTATGATATTTTCTTAATACTGACCATGAAACATCAATGTAAATAGGGCCTACTTTCATTGTTCCGAAAATCACTGCAACTTAGGAAAGGTGTGATCAGTGAAGGGAGCATGCCTCCATCACACTAACAGGTTTTGTAACCTTCAGAAACACATAGCTAAAGTACTCGATTACGCATCAGACACACGGCCCAAACACACAAATACCTCCTCAAAGGAGAAGAGAAGCCGTTTTATGTCGGATGCGACACAGATTTTACCATTAGTAGTGGCATTAGACGCATTTTAACCGGGTTTCTAGACTTCAGAGAGACCCGAATGAAATACTTTAAATGCACAAAATTGCAAGACATTTTTTCCGTCGTTGTTCCCAACAGAATTTTAGATTTTATGAAGGCCGTTGGCCTTTATAGGAAATTATAGAGTGAAATTAAATTATTTAAAATTTTTATGTTATTTAGGAAAGTTGTTTTATTAGATTGGAAATATATTTACACCGAATTTTAAATATTTTAACATATTAAGATCTAACTACTGACCCGAGCCCAGCCATACAGTGAACTGTTGCGAATAGAACTAACTTGTGTTTCGCGCGCTCATGACCTTATGCAGTTGCGAGCACCGTAAAACCCCATATTAAACTAAAAAAACTAAATTACCAGCTCTTAAAAATCTACATTGAAAACTGAGTGTTCGTGCTTAAGAGCTGGTGGGGCACCTAGAAATCGTTTTTTGGGGTCAAATTATGCAAATTGGGGTAATTACATATTACAGCACCTGGACATTTCCTGAACAATATCCAGAAACGTACGTAAACTTTGCTACACCCTAAAGCTGTGTTTTTTATTCAGGTCTTTCTGCGAAAGCACATGTTTTCCAACCTTTTCTTACCTTTATCGGCTGTTTTCTCACAATTCCATTTTTTCACACATTATCCCATTTTTCTGCTCTGTTTCTTGTTCAATTTCAAAGCAACTTTCACAGAATACCGACAACACCCAGTTCTAAATTTGGGCTTGTTGAATTTTTGATTAATGGATTAGTAAAGATTTATGGGCTTAGAAAGCATGGATTTTCCATTTTTTTCCCTTTTTTTTGTAACAACCCAAATAGTAAGTGTCATAAAATAAAAATCAAAGCATATAAAAAATTCAAGAAGCCGAATTTCAGAACGACCTATTTACTGTTGGCATGCCAAATTTTAAGTGAATCAGTTGATAAATAAGGGAATACAATGGGACTGAAAAAGGTATACAAAATCCAATATGGCCGCCGTTTCCATAGCAACTGATTCACAATAATATACTTTTTGAACTATTGATTTCAAATCCCCAATAACACACGATATATATCCCACAGCAAATATGGGCACTGAATCTAGGCCTTGTAATAGCCAAAAAAGACCCCAGGTGCCCAACCAGCCCTTAATAATCAAAGAAAAAGTCCTACATTGTAAACTATATAAGTCTCTTTCTTGGAAATGCATGTTTTCAAGTGCCAGCTCTTAAAAATCTACTTTTTTTAGAACTGATTGTGCAGGAATTAGCAAGCAAAGGAATACCTTAAAATTGTAGTTTGTACAATATATGCCATACTTACTTTGGTGGAAATTAGAATTGAAGACATAGCACACATTGTACAGTACTGAGAAGTCAACAAGGTTGGGGGGTGCGGATAGCAGTGGAAGCGCAATCACAAAACCCTGTTTCTTGGAAATGTAATTGAACTCATGTCCTGCGTCTGTGCTGAGATGTGAAATGTGAATCTTATCAGTAACCGATTACGTCGGACCAGCCTCTCTGGTTTCACTTTGATTTTTAAAAACACAAGTAGGGTAACTCTGTTCGCAAAGGGTGCGCATTTGCGAAGATGCCGCCACCGAATTTTGAGGACACTTTTTTTAAACTGGCTCAAAGAGAGGAGTGGCTGTGGACCCTCTTGTTATGTCGCAACAGAGTGACTATTATAATTGATATCAACCCTTGTAACTCAGTACAATAACATCGATTTTTCTTATTATCTAAAAAATATTTCTTTATTACCAATTTTAAGCCCCCCCCAAACACACACAGCAGTGCCAAATTCAGTTTCATGCTCACTGTAGTGAATATTTTCCAGAAATGATTTTTTCCTCTCTTGATCTTCATAGATCACGTTTGCCACTTCAGACTAAAATAAAATGACTACAAGAACTAGATCTAGATTATATTTCCTGCAATCAGAATTTAGGTTAAATAGCTTTGATAGTTGATGTAGTTTTGTTTGGAAAGGAAAATATCAATTGGTTGAAGCAGAAACATGACACTGCATATTGAAATAAAGAAAAAAATCCGTTTTAAAAGGGAGGTTGCAAAAGTGATAGCTTGGAAACATAGTAAGGGCAGTGGGTGAACCCGTAGGGGAAATCCAACAATACCCCCCCCCAAACCAAAAACTATTATTTATTCGGTTATTCGGATTTTTAGAGAAACAGGTACCTAGTTATTCGGGGTTTTTTTTAACGAATAATGCCCAGCCCATTGCCCAGGCCTACTTCACAGGCCTAGTGCACAGTGCACACTACTGCCCGTCGCTTGAGGTCTGAGAAGCCATAAGCTATTTTTGTACATGTACTTTGTACTTTCTACTCTACTCCCCTTGTGTTGAAGTGGCTTGATTATTTAATATGTCAGGTTAGATCTAAGTTGATTACTCCCTTGGGTCCCAGACCTCTTTATCTAAAGTTACAGCGCTCAAGTTGAAGTGCTTAACGATTGTATTGATTATTTATTTTTGTTTGTCTGTATATCATCAATGTCATCATCAGATGTTTAAAGATAAGCCTACATAATATTATTAATAGGTTACTGTATCTCAATGAATCTATTGTGTTCCTTTCTTTTCTCCTCACAGCATTTGGACAGCAAAAAACACGCAGAGCAAGGAAAGACTTGTAATGCCTGTAAGTTTTATATTATTTTTTATTGTTGATGGTGAATTACATTTATTTTAGCTCGCAAAACTCCATAATGTAGGCCTACTCATGCCTGCACGCAAGAGCACACCTGAGCACGCCAACTATTATCCTATTAATTTTTTCTAAGTCTAAATCATTCCCTTTGTGTCGTGTACACATTCATCTCTCTCTTTCTCTCACTCTCCCTTTCCTCTTTCTCTCTCTTTCTCTCACCTCTCCCTCTCCACTCTCTCTCTCTCTCTGTCTCTCTCTCTC